CTGATGCATTGTATGCACACATTTTTTATCAGATAGTTTGCCCATGCGAGGATTCAAACAGAATGGTGCCACTGTGGTAGCAATATTTTTTTTAAATCGAATTTTATGGTTATTTCAATTATTTTCGGAATTTCGGAATTTCGAGCTCTTTCGCGTTACTTCGCACTATTTCTTTCGTATAACGCATCTAGTGCAGATTTGGATTTCCTACTTCTTAGTTCACGTTTCAATGTGGTTTTCCAAATAGTTTTGATTCATTTATTCCTACAATGGACTCTCCCATGAGCAAATATTTTCCGTGATTAGGGAAAGGGTTTTATCGCTTTTATTAAATTACATATAAATTGACAATGCAAGAGAATAATCAGCCTAGATTTTATGCCGAAAAAGACTAAGAAATCCTTTTCTCAGAAAACCCAATGAAAAACTAGAAACTTCTTTAAACTGTTTTCTGGACGGTTGGTTTGTATCGGCGCATGCTACTGGTGGAACAAGACGTGTTTACCGTTTTGGCGAACACCTGGACCTACTTGCACAAAGCGATCTTAGCGCTAAGACTATCGTAAGCCTATGTTAAAGAATGGGAGTTACGATTATCTTAGCGCTAAGATCGCTTTGTGCAAGTGGGCCCTGGTGACAATACTGATTTTCAACGATCATATAACTTTCACCTTAATTTGCCCTTTACGCCCAATGGATAATTCAGAAGGATAATTCAGACTGGGTATTCTCTGGCCTTGACGTTTTGTATTTCCTTAAACAAGTCGATGTTTCTGGTCCCCGAGTTTCATCTCATGCTCAGTAGCATTTATCAGTCATGCTGAGACGTCTTCAAAGGAAATGTTTGGGCCGAAACATTACAACTGCTCCCACCCCCATCGGACGTATTTCTCATAAGTTTTGACTTAACTTATAAATATAGCTTTCCATATCCAACAGAAATCTCTGCATAAAGCAGGTAGCACGTATTTTATGTTAATTTGATAGAGTGTGATAGGTAAACTTTATCCTTGAAACTGTCCATTTGAAAGAAAGTTTTCACTGCCTCACCTTTTTCTTCTCTTGAAGGGGAAGAGTGTTGTGTGTGTAGCGTTATTGCATGTAACTCCGGTCAATAAATCGTACTCAAACGAACCCTATTCTTAGTGTCAACGTAACACAACAGTGTGTAAATAGTTTCAGTGTCAATATATGTTTTTTTTTAATATCAGTGGCAATGCATAATTGAAGTGCTGGGAAGGGATATCAACAACTGTCGTGGCCGGATATGAACTGCAGTTTACGACTGTTTTTTCCTTTTATTACAACGCATAAACACATGAAACTACTGTTTGAATGAACTGCCTATGTAAATATGTATCTTGATCATCAGGCAATTTTTCTAGGGTTTTGAGTATGATATTTAATACACTTTCCCTAAACTAGGTCTAAATGTACTACATAAAGTATATGTAGTCTAGGTATTTTCTCTGGCGTAATATTGGCAAGCCGTAGACAGATTGTGGGTATTCAGATACGTATTTGAGTTTGAGACATGATTTCTTTGTCTTTCATTTTATTATTGTCTCTGTAGTACAGTTCGTATCACTGTCGGATATAGAATACTTGCGTAATGAATTGTTCAATGTAAATAGCCAAGTCGTGTCAATCCCTCTGTGTACAGATACTGCGTAAACGACCCGGAAAGTCCAAGCAATAGTTATTTCACCACTCTGTTAATAGATTCCCCTGCTTCTTTGCGTCATGTGATATGACTCAGTCCTTGCGACAAGCTTGCGAATGTAATTCCTTTAAATACCCCACCTCTATTACACTATTCCTGTGTAATTTTGGAGGATTCGGGTGGACTCGTCACCCTCATAGCTGAGGGCCGGCCAAACAGGCCTTGGTTTCCCAGACTGTTTCCCCTCTTCATGGCAGCACGACTCCAGCTCCCACTACGTCTCGAACTCCTCCGTCACCCACGATCGGACGTATCCCACAAAAGTCCCCAAAGTCTTCACCTCCAAGCCTGGAAACTTTCAGTTTCTCCAAGGCTGCCTCCGATTCCGTGGCACGGTCTTGGGGACCTACATCTTCCTACTTCTATGACACCCGATGACACACCTTGGCGAAGCTGAAGGGTTTTGGAGTACAGGGAAGTAACTATTCCCGTAGAGCATACTTCCTGCTACATCTACGCAGGGAGAAGAATTTCAGATTGAGGGCTATCAATCAGGCTCAGCATCGGTCCTCCAGCTTGATGGGCTCTTCATCGGCACCCATCCAGTTCTAAATCGACGTATGAAGTCATTCAACTGGAAGATGTCAAAGTACCCCGCACTTTCCCGAAGTGGAATTTGTCTGGCGTTCTGTCTCCTCTTATGGAAGCACCACATGAGCCTATGCACACGGCAACTCTTTTGCAAGTCTATAAGAAACTGCCTTTTGGCTTTAATGGCAACAGCGGGTCGAGTGTCGGAGCCCATGTCACCTCACTCACCCGATTGCAGTATAATCACAGCATACTCTCCTACAGTTCTCTAAACAGGACCATGGCGAGAGGCCCGTCAGGTCATAGGCAATACTTCATCTCCGCTACAGGCGGAAGTGAGGATTCTCCGGACAGACCTTTGTGCCCAGTGCGAGCACTAAAGAGTCATCTCGTAGAGTTTGTTTGTTTGTTGTTTAACGCCGCACTCGGCAATATTCCCGCTATATGACGGAGGTCTGTAAATAATCGAGTCTGGACCAGACAATTCACTGATTGACAACATGAGCATCGATCCACGCAATTGGGATACGATGACATGTATCAACCAAGTCAGCGAGTCTGACCACTCGATCCCGTTATTTGCCTCTTACGACAAGCATAGTCGCCATTTACGGCAAGCATGGTTTTCCTGAAGACCTATTCTACCTCTGATCTTCACGGGTTCATCTCGTGGAGACGCAAGACCGTAGACACGCAAGGCCATCGTCGCCACACAAAACGTCCGTTCATATCCTGCAAGCCCTCTGTAGACTTGCAAGAATTTAAAGATGATAATTACTTTATAGATGTTACTGACACTCTTGTCCAATTTCCTACAAATCTGTTTAATGTTATTATTATCGTCAGGGCCGTTGCCAGATACATGGCTAACGGGGATTGTAAACCCAGTCTATAAAGCCAAGGGCAGTCTCCTAGATCCTAATTCATGCAGGCTAATAACTGTATAGAGTTGCTTTGGAAAACTTTTCACCCGAATACTAAATAAGAGACTAATTAAACATGTTGATGAAAATAACATTTTATATCCTGCGCAAGCAAGCTTCAGAAAAGGGTTTTAACCTTAATTGTGATGTTTGGGAAAAGAGTGGGTGAGTTAAAATTTTAAGTCACATCGGCAATATTTCAGCCATACAGTGACTATTGGGAAAAGAAACTGATTCTAGACACTGAAGACATAACAGATTTCATCAGGGAATAGGTTGAACTCGATATAGTTTGCAGACGGAGAACATATGATTAAGACAATCAGAAATGCAGAGAAGGGGAGCTCCCAAAATCCCCCGATATAATCTTGTTTAAAATGGATCTCGGCTTTCACGTATCGAGACTTCTTGGTTATTCTCTTATTATGACGTTTAATATTGTTAGTTAACGATCATGTAGAGTATCACTTCGGTCCGACGTAATGTTTCGGTAATTAAACATACACCACTGCACTATAAAATCCATGAAGAAGTTATGAAATATAGAGGAGGATAGTCCTTAGCCTTCGCATACAGTCATTCATGTCTCCCACTAAGATAATATCCACTTTTTGTGGTAACTGATTGCTTTTATCAGAGACACATACCTGTTCATGTTACCATTTTCTGCGTTGGTCTTTGTGTAGCTGGAATCTACCCTCCCCAAAAGGGAAGGCGCTCCCACATAGGTATTTGATGCATATCTACCCATAGATGGGACACGACAGCTTTCGCACGACAACCTCCATGTCACACACAATACTCCGGATCTTCGTAATAAGGAGAAAAAAAATCTTTTAGAATCTATGGTTACCCCATCAATGTACCGCCTCCGTGGTCTAGCTTATAGAGCGTCAGCCCGGATAGAGTTGGTTGGTTGATTGGTTGGTTGGTTTGTTGTTTAACGCCGCACTCAGCAATTTTCCAGCAATATGACAGCGGTCTGTAAATAATCGAGTCTGAACCAAACAATCCAGTGATTAATATCATGAGCATCGATCCACGCAATTGGGATCGATGACATGCGTCAACCAAGTCAGCGAGCCTGACCACCCGATCCCGTTAGTCGCCTTTTACGACAAGCAAAGTCACCTTTTACGGCAAGCATGGGTTGCTGAAGACCTATTCTACCCCGGAATCTTCACGGGTCCCCGGATAGAGAAGGTCGATGGTTCGATACCCGGCACGTCATGCAAAAAGACGTTAAAAGATGGAACTTATTGTTACCCTGCCTGACACTCGGCATAAAGGGATACCGCAATGCCTGGCTGGCTCGGAGTCAGTATACTGGGGGAATCCATGTTAAACTGCTCACCTCAACTCACATCCGGGTTTATTCACGAAACACAAGCTTAATATGGAGGTTTTGATATAATGTCATTGTCCTGATTAGCGGATTATTTCTGTGGAATAATGACTTGTATGTATATTCGTATAATAAAAACGTAATTCCAATACAATCCTCCAGAGTAACATACCATTGGTATACAAGTATACGCTCTTAACAGTTATCGCAGAGTTTTCCGGATTAATAAGGTCCAAACTAACGGGACTGATCTACACTGGCCGGTATTGCCACGTCAGTGTGTATTGATGTTTCGAGAATACACTGACACAACTTCACAGTATATATCCTGTGCTACTCATGCCACCGTCACTCGATACTGACTAACAATAAGCTCATACGGGTAGGGAAATCGATAGCTTCACGCAACAAACACACAACTCTACACACTAACATTCCCATACCAGGTAACGACTGAAAGGGCTTCTCGGAAATAATGTGACGTCACTGTCACCTGCACTTTGTTCACTCATCATGGCGCGCTGAGCCGCCCCTTTGCCCTTCTCCTACACTATAACTTCCTCTTCTTCTTACTTTAGGCAAAATATATGGACTTAAATTCTTTCACAGGTAAGGTGCGTCGCTTTTATATATTGTTCCTGATTTTACACTTAACCAAAATCATACTATTCAAACTTTAGTCACAATTTGTCATTTGTCATATGTGTAACTGTGAATGCATTCAAAGACGTCAGCCATTATCTTAGGGTTTTCTTGGAACACCTGGTAACAATGTGACATATTAAATCATTGACACTAAAAAATCCCAGGAGAAATATTTGTTGCAGTTAAAATGGGAATTTATGCAGGTTCCAAGTGCCTAGGTTATGCTTAGGTTATAGATTGAGTAGGGTCATCATGACCGAAGTGAGGAGAAATATTTCAAACCTCAACAGATCAACAAGGAGGATATTTTATCCCTTTTAGTCATAGCTGCTAATACATAATTTAGATTAAGAAGAAAATATTATTTGTATAATTCCTAAATGATACATAAATGTGAAAATAGGAATGTTGCTTCTGCGCATGTGTATCGTCAAGGACTATTTTAGGATGTTGTTCGATAAACGGAGCACGAAACAACGATTGTCATTGAGCAATAAACATGGCGGCATGGTGAAGCATGTGAATGAAAACATGGTTTGATTATTTCTATATTTTCTCTATCACTGCTGTCTTGTTTGATTATACAAATCTGTTTTTAATGTTTTATTCAGTACGTTCTTTCATTTTATCCCCAAAAGTATCATCTATAAGCATATAGTGTGGTTGGTATATCTTAAAAGAACACATGGCTAAGACACGTTTTTCCATATATTATACTTGTGAATTTGGTACAACTACTGTAAACTACGGTTATAAATCATTCTTGTGTACATTGATCAATCGGAAGGGGTGCTAATTGGTATTGTTCACTAGACAATATATTAGCAAATATCGCCGTGGGCGCTTCTTAGAGCAGGGGGCCTTTTACGTCGAATACGGTATTTTAGGTTAAAACCATACTCCATTTTTTAATAGCTTAGTGTTACAATTATACAATGTGAACATACACTAATTACACAACAACTGCTTTTAAATTACTGGTTTTGTTGTCTCTATATTGTTGTCTAAATGTATTTATATTTTAACTATATATACTTATGTATTATCTCACTGTTCTTTGAAACATTATATTTACTAAACGGATAACATATACATATTTTGTGGTATATTATTTTACATTACATTTTCTTTTAGTAATTATGAACTGTTTAGTCATTTAGTATTCTGAACATGTTACAATTCCAATCAGCAAATGGACACATATTATGTATATGATTACAAGCCTTGGAAACTACATATATGTACATATATGTTGGTGATGTTATTCTGTATGCGAATTAATATTCAGAACAGGTCGACTGAGAAAAGTCTTTTTTAATCAAGGACCTGCGGCAACTTTAAAGGAGATAGAAGGATAAACGTCTAGATAAACATGGCCTCGTTGATGGAGTCAGTAGTTTGTAGGGTAATGCCCACAAAATACTTCTCGTTACGAAACCCCTAGAAACATTGTTATCCATAAAAAATGTTTTTCAAACCTTTTATGTTAGAAATGTGGAGGACATTTCGAAATTTGACGTACATGTCAGATGCACATGTGGTTTTGGTAATTGTTTTGTCGCATTTATTCGAACTTCTTATTGTTAATCTAGACTGTCAATCTAATACCTGTGAAGTCTATAGCAGTATATACAACTATGTCTCAAGGCTTTTGCGATCAGTGTATGCCCGGGACTTGGTTAATATGTTAGACCATTTACTTTTTTACATCCGATGCCAATGATTAACTTTACGAGCACATCACATTGGAAGACAATAGTAGCATTGAAATCGGCCGGAGACATACACTTGTACTTGTTCCGACATAGAGTGTTATATTCGTTTTAAAGGTATAACGATTTTGCATTTCAGACAAAAATAGTATTTTATCAGGAACTACTTACCAAGCTTTCATTCACCTAACAATTTGCAAATAACACTTAAGAAGTAAGCCAGAACATAACAATGAGAATCCCATCATATGTTAAAGAGTACTCGGACATTTGTAGAAATTATAATGTACATCTATGAAATATTAAAGTATAAGAGTTATTAAATTTGTTAAATGTAAAATACTTTTGTGCAACTATACTATACTTCAGCATCTAATAAATTACTACTGTGATTACGGTATACGCACTTCTGTGTTTTTCTTGTAATTTGAGAGTCCCGGTATAGCAATATCCCGTGTTTACTGTAGCGTGACCAGTCTTACTGTAGCTTCACGAAAGCGAAGAGATTTTAGAGTTGATTATGGCTAGGTTTCGCTCTTCCGGCCCAGAACCTGGAGTATATACTCTGCCAGGAGAGCGGAAGGTGGGTGTTTCGGTACCATAGTGGCTTCGTGCTAAATGCACATGAAGATCGTACTTGTTGCGCTCGGCATTAAGGTGATAACACAAGGACTGGTCGTCTCGGAGAATAATGTATCATTCGCATACACGTAAACGCACGGTCGCTATACATGTGTAATGATCGTGAAAGCGACGTTAAGCCACGATTCACATATTTTCACCATCACATCGTATAGATTTAACTTAATGAAGTCTGAAACAGTCACAAATGATTGTTTTTCTATGGTCACGGTTATGAAATAACACCCATATCTAGGTTGGGCAAGAGGAATAGCTCAAAAGACCGTGTAAATAGTTGTGCTAAAATATGTTTGGTAGACTGATTTTGAAAATAATATTGATGTAATGATAACATGCTTTTTAATTCCATAATGTATACTTGTTGCTGTACAGATGATTGAGTGAGTGAGTATGGTTTTACGCAATATCACGGCGGAGGACACCAGAAATTGGCTTTACGCATTGTACCCATGTCGGGAATCGAACCCGGGTCTTTGGCGTGACGAGCGAACGTTTTAACCACTAGGCTTCCCGACCGCCCCCGTACAGATGAAACAATGCCGATGCTCACACACTGAGTTATAATAGTTCCTCATAAGCCGCCATATAGCTATTAATTTCATCATTGTTTAATGCAAACATGTTTGATTGTATCATCAGAGTCCTGTTGCATATGGTTATAATATTTTTAACATTTCAGTTCCACTACATCTACCCTTCCTCTGTGGAAGCGAACAACACATTTCGTTAGAAACATGAGCCACGAGGAGCATCGCCTACAAACAATACAGCTTATCATGGGTACGTTAGAAGCAAGTGTCGAATGTGATCAGCTTGTCAACAAACTTGCTGACACCAAGATCATATCTACTTCTGACGTTACTAGGATCACTGACACAGAGGAGAAAGACAGGATAAAAACTATTTTTGAAGTTCTAATGGGAAAGGGCAAAGAAGACCTACACCCCCTAGCTCTGAAAATATTGGAATCACAAACAAGTCCAAGCCAGCAAAACACCAGAAACACAGAACAAGCCATAGAGAGAGTGGTCCAGGGTAAGTTACAGAAGTATAATGTCAAGTATAATTTTATTCAAGCGTATTTAGGCAGGAACAAGGTAAAGGGTATTTATTTATCCTTCAGCATTGTATACATTTGCAAAACATGTGGCGTCTCTGGTTGTTTGTTTGTTTGTTTGTTGTTTAACGCCGCATTCGGCAATAATCTAGCTATATGCCGGCGGTCTGTAAATAATCGAGTCTGGACCAGACAATCCATTGATTGACATCATGAGCATCGATCCTTGCAATCGTCTCGAATAATTTATTCCTAAAGATAATAAATATGGATATACTTACATATTTGCCGTGGAATCAACTATTTCAAAACTCCTACAAAGTGCACAATAACATTTCAAATATACAATTTGGATACAGGTACCGACACATCAACAGTAGCTGCACGGTCTTTCAATGGGAGGAGAATACTCAAGTACAGTGATTTGTCCAATGATTGGGAGTTGAAGAACTTTTTGGTTGACCTCTCAGAGGAAATTGGCGAGAAGGAAATGGAGGCTATGAAGTACATCATGCGTGGCAAGTTGGTGATTAGAGTGCCATTAGACAGCTTCATTGGTTTTAATGACTACTTCCAAGGTAGCAGGATTGTTAATGTCTTTGGCATACGCTTACCATCTCATTTACTTGATAAGAAATAGACCAAACAAGAAAAAGAAAACAACAACAACAAAACGAAAACAAAACAACTACGCACGAGTGGATATTTCACACCCTGTTGGTAGCACTCTGGAAATGATTGTATTTCATTTATTATCTTTCTTACTATTCCAGGCGAAAATGGCTTTGGTGACGCTGTGCTGGAAAAACTGACATCCCCATTGAAGTTCTTTGAAAAAATGACCCAATCTAGACTAATCGATGCATATAATCTACATTTCCTGCAAGCCTTGCTATGGCGCATCAAAAGACGTGACCTCAACGAAAAGATTCGTCAGTTTTGTCTGGAGAGTGACAAGAAGCCAATCAATTTTTTTCTCCCAGCCGAGCATCCAGGTAACATGGCCATTATTTGGTAGAGTTTATCTATTAAGGTTTCAAATTCGCTTCAAATGTTTGCCTTTTTATGAACAAAAATCTCCATGAAAATACCTAGAACGAGTTATTGAGACAATACGTAACGATCAATGCCTTTTACAGCTGTAGGATAATTGTACTTCATATAAACAGAACTGTCTGTACTCTGTCACTTTAATTTAGAAAACGGATACAAGTATGTCAAGTTCCATGTAGAGGGCGACATAGATAAACTCACACACGCAGACAAAGAACACCTGAGAGCTGACGTAGCACGAATTCTGTGCGTACCAATCACCTACGTCTTCATCAGGGGTCTTGAACCAGCGAAAAGTCTCCTGTTTACGTTCATGGTCCCCGAGGAAGATGTCAGCAGCTTCATTCACATCTATCACTCACAGGAGGCCTCATTCGTCCACCTGTCTATCCACGTACAGATTAATGAGACGGAATTATCCCTATCTGGTATGATGAAGTATCTGAGATTGTTGAACTGTTTAAAGTATATCATTAATCCATAAATACAGATTCAGAGAATGTAATGCTTATTTGCATGGAGCTTGGAAAACGGAAAATATGAATGTAAAAAATACATGTTCTGTATGTGTCGTTGGATGCTTTTGTTTTTTACTGTTATTATGATTCTATGTCGCACATCGATAAAATATGACACTTGTCTTCATGCACTCTTTACAGAAATTGCACTAACAACGGAACAGGAAGAGAAACCCATGTATGGTCAGTTGAAGCATCTCTTGGAGCAAAAACAGAGTCTTAAAACACAGCTTGCAGACAGAGATGAGCAGCTGTTGGACCTTCAGGATGAACTTGATAGAAGGGAAGGAGACTCAACCGTCGACCAGGTTCTACATGATGATGGAGCGTTAAACGCACAACAACTTCATCAACAGTATGAACTGTTCAAGGACATGTTTTACAGAATAATGGATGTGATGAAGACAATGAAGCCAAGGGAAAACGTGACTGACAGCAATGGCAAGATTGGGTCGTTGAAACTGTCCAGTGCATCAGCTCTGTATAGAAGACTTCTCTCGCAAGCTAGACAACGTTGTGAAACTTTGGATATAGATTTGTTAAACAAACTGTTGGATGCAAAGACTACACTTGAAGCAACATTACACGAGGAGAGACTCAGAAAAATGCAGGAAGTTATTGTGATGCTCTCAGAACATGTGGAAGAACAGGCAGAAATGATTGCAAATTTGCAGGCATCCAGTAACATAGCCGGAGCATCGTCAACCTTCCTGCATGACATCTTGGCAATTCAGGAACAAGCAAGAAACCACGCCACCAAACAACACCAGGATGAGACACCCAAACTAGAATTCAATGGTATAATAGGAATGAAAGTGGTCAAATTGATATATCAAGGTAAGCTGATAATTTCTCTGAAAATGAAACACAAACGTGTAATCTAAATATTTTGTAACCTAATACCGAATGATGCGGTTTGAATAACTATCTAAAACAAACTAATTTGAAAACCTTTATGCAAAAGTGCTACTTTTTTCTTTTTACTCGTAGCTCCACATCAGATTGGGATTCATCCTGAACTGCAATCGATTCTGACGTCACTGACCAAAGAACTCACAAACAAGGAAAGAAATAAACTGAAGAAGTTCCTTTGTTTTTCTGAAGCTGAAACGGAACAGCTGAAACAATCTCCAGACATGCTTCTTGAGCTTGCATTTTTGAGGGAACTTCGCAAGGGAAGACAAGAAGGTCCAATGGGTATGATCAATGTTTTTTAATGTATTGGGACACCTCGCGAATATTACATAGTTTTGTAATGCCATAAGTGATTAATCTTATGTCATATAAGTGCGTATTGTTTTAACTATATGTGATGCTTCGTATGATAGAAGAGGTCGAACGTTTTGAAAATGTAATTTACATATGTAAGTGCAACAGATTGAAAGGAAACCTTACGAATGCTTACCGTCTTTCAGAGATTGTTGGGGACATTTTGGCGAAGATAAGAAAAAGAACTTTGGTCCAGCAGTACTTGTACCCTGAACAGCAACCCAAACTGACTAAGAGGCCATCGTCGGAGAAAAGGGGTGGGCCAGGAAGATCAAGTCGATCAGATACACCTCAAAGAAAGCGAAAGGAAAGTGGAGGATTTAATGCATGATCAAGAGGAGGTGACATATGTCCATAGTCTGGACGCTGATAAAGAAGTGAGAACAAAAGTCTTGATCTCAAGATGATTCCATATTCTGCCTTAACAATGCAAGTGCTTTAAAAGAAGAAATATATTCGTGCAGTTCCTGTGTGCAGTTCATGGCCTAAGACTACAAAGCAGAGACCTATCAGATAACTAACGATGACACATTACAATGTAGTTATTTGGCATTTGTTGTTACTTTTATCCTTTTATACACATGTCAGAGTAACGTTTCCAATTAATCTTCAGTCAGGACGTTATTTCTTGTCTGTTGAAAAGATAATATGTATCGAATCACCGACGTTATTGTTCGGCCACACACATTGTCATGGAGAACATTTTGTTATTGGGTTTGTTTGAAACCCGAGATTGAACTTAATGCTGCTTTCAGCTCAAAAGGTAGAAAAACCTTTAACTGACAACTATATTTAAACCACAGAACCACAGTGCTTACTTTGTCTGATCCCTATGCTTTTGCATTGGTGTCATTATTTACAACATGTAAGTAAACGCAAACCTCTGTACCTTTCATAGCTAATCGGGTTTAAGGAGTAGGAGGAATATTACAACACTGTAACCCACTCATTTGTTCATATGTTCTCAAAACAAAGAACAACTGAAGTCTAAATAACGCTAATGTATTCGCAAATCAGTTTCATTCATAAGCTTGTAGCACTTGTATGTTAACTTATGGTCCAAAAGTATGACCTCATTTTCTAAAACCGCTATATCCGCTTTTGACTGGGCTGACCTCGTAATTGACACGTAGAATTTACCTTCAGCCTCAATCATCACTCATTACACCGAGAAATTGTAACACAATGACACTTTTTTCCTTGAAATTGCAAGACATTTACATTGCAGACATTAATTAGAAGTGTAAGTGTGCGGCACTATTAGGAGTCCTGATAAGAAAGAGCGCAGAAGAATGGCGCGAAGATGATGATAATACTTAGTAGGATATTCCTTACAAAACTAAGTCCAAAGTTCATTCTGCTATATATTGACATTAATATGTGTTTGTTGTTGGTGTTGTTATAATATTTGTTATTAAACTATTGTCTGAATACGTGTATCCCCAAATAGCGTCTGATAGTAGCGTTGCCCCAAAATGACAGGACTCCTTTCGAATATAACGTGTGTCATTAATTATTTCTGATGATGATTGCGTGAGTTAATGCGATCTATTTTATTAGCTGTTTTTATAATTAAGACCTTTAAGTTTTATACAGATGTTACCATTTATGGTCATCTCTGAACCGCTTTAGCTATACCAAGTTAATGCATACTCCGTTTGTAACAAACTATGTATGGGACTAATACAATGCCTGTGTGTATGGTCACCAGATAATCATTTGGTAAAAGGTTACTCTCTGCAGAAAGTTTGGTATGGGAAAATATTGTATCAACTTCAGACCCCGTTTTGAACACATTTTCAAATGCAGCATGATACAGAGAAAGAGAAACACTTACACGGACAGAAAACTACGTTTATAACGAACACGCTTATAACGAACTGACGGACATAACGAACTGTTTTGGGGTCCTGTCCATTTGCTGTTTATATGCATATAACGAACTACGGTTATAACGAATTAAATCAGTGGTTCCTTAGAGTTCGTTATAACAGTAGTTTACTGTATGTGCACATTTCGAAATGTTACAGACCCCAGTATATTTTACTGACCAGTCTGTTTTGGGGTTACACCTCTTTGACATCATGTGATGTCCACAACAATATAAGTTGTAGCAGGATCACGAGGAGTATTTGGGGTTTTTTGCGTTCCGCGTTAGGTCTATTACCACGAGCCTGGGCCCGAGTGGTCCTGCTACAACGAATTTATCTTACCGACATGTTTTGATATGACATTGTAAAATATTTGAAACAAATTCAAAATTGATAGAAAACAGCTATTGAGCTGAGGTTAGCTTGCACTATGTCATGTGACATCCACTGACTCGGAAAAAGCGTGCGGCTTTTTCTTTGAAGCGGGGTGTAAGGGATTTATTCTGTCTCCCAGAAATCCACGTGCTGCCTGACTTGCTCGTGGCGGGGTATAAGAGATTTATTTCCCCGCTGAGAAATTTATTCCACTCAAAGGATACTTTATGAAGATCACGAGGACCATCAAGATCTCATTATTCTGATATGCAGATATGCTAAAAGATTTTACTATTTCTTAATTCCTTCTCTGTGAGGCTCAGAATCGAACTTAACAATCGTACGTTAATGCCCTCTTACGTTAATCCCGAACTCTTTGTTTCTTTACCTTTATTCTTCTGTTTTGTTGTTTTCAGTTTTTTATGATCAGAAATGTTCATATATACATATCGTTTTGATGTGTCCAATAAGTATGATACACCTTCTGTAAAACAGAGTGACATGTATATAGAGAAGCCGAACTCTATACAGTGTTTTGAAGTTGTATCATAGGGTACTTTTTACCTGATTCCCCGGTAGATGCGGGATGAAAGTGTTTAAACATGTATGTGTATTGTGTTTGGCTTTAGCCAAGATGGCGGACGTTTCCGAGCAAAAAACGTACATAACGAACAACGTATATAACGAACTGATTTCTCTGGTCCCTTGTAGTTCGTTATATCCATGTTTTTACTGTACTTCATTACCTTTATTCTTATATTGTGTCGTTTTAAATTTTTATAAGGAAATATGTTGAAATATTATGCATATGGTTTAGATGTGTCCAATTAGTATGATACACCTTCTGTAATACAGAGTGACAAGTATATAGAGAAGCCGAACTCTATATTTCATTACATTTTTTTATATTGTGTCGTTTTAAATTTTTATAAGGAAATATGTTCAAATATTATGCATATGGTTTAGAAGTGTCCAATGAGTATGATACACCTTCTGTAATACAGAGTGACAAGTATATAGAGAAGTCGAACTCTATATTTCATTACCTTTTTTCTTATATTGGGTCGTTTTAAATTTTTATAAGGAAATATGTTGAAATATTATGCATATAGTTTAGATGTGTCCAATAAGTATGATACACCTTCTGTAATACAGAGTGACAAGTATATAGAGAAGTCGAACTCTATATTTCATTACCTTTTTTCTTATATTGGGTCGTTTTAAATTTTTATAAGGAAATATGTTGAATATTATGCATATAGTTTAGATGTGTCCAATAAGTATGATACACCTTCTGTAATACAGAGTGACAAGTATATAGAGAAGCCAAACTCTATATTTCAGTACCTTTTTTCTTATATTGGGTCGTTTTAATTTTTTATAAGGAAATATGTTGAAATATTATACATATAGTTTAGATGTGTCCAATAAGTATGATACACCTTCTGTAATACAGAGTGACAAGTATATAGAGAAGTCGAACTCTATATTTCATTACCTTTTTTCTTATATTGGGTCTTTTTAAATTTTTATAAGGAAATATGTTGAAATATTATGCATATAGTTTAGATGTGTCCAATAAGTATGATACACCTTCTGTAATACAGAGTGACAAGTATATAGAGAAGTCGAACTCTATATTTCATTACCTTTTTTCTTATATTGGGTCGTTTTAAATTTTTATAAGGAAATATGTTGAAATATTATGCATATAGTTTAGATGTGTCCAATAAGTATGATACACCTTCTCTAATACAGAGTGACAAGTATATAGATAAGCCAAGCTCTATATTTCATTACCTTTTTTCTTATATTGGGTCGTTTTAAATTTTTATTGAGGAAATATGTTCAAATATTATACATATAGTTTAGATGTGTCCAATAAGTATGATACACCTTCTGTAATACAGAGTGACAAGTATATAGAGAAGCCGAACTCTATACTTCATTACCCTTTATTCTTATATTGGGTCGTTTTAAATTTTTATAAGGAGAAATGTTCAAATATTATGCATATGGTTTTGATTTTTCCCATGTGTAATAATGTATGAGAAAAACTGCCGGACAAAAGAAAAAATACACTCGAAAATTTGGATTTGACCCAAAATTTACAAGAAATTATTCAAATGTTACAAGGCTTAAAACAGTCGCCGAAACACTGCAACCCTGGTGTCCAACAAAACCCCTATGATACCAGTATGAAATATGCCATTGGAAAACTAATTTTTGCTTCTTTCAATTTTAGCCACCATCAAACACGGGTGTATACTTTGTTTTGCCCTACAGTTTACCCCCTGTAGTAAAGTGACATGAATAATCATATTACATTAATGCCGAACTTTTTATTTCATTACATTTTATTCTTATCTTTTGTCGTTTCAAATTTTACAAAGAAGAATGTTCAATAGTATGCATACGGTGTAGATGCTTCCTTCAATGGGTAGTGACATACATATGGATAAGTGATATATATACCGCAAGGTTAACATCTCGTGTTATGTGCCTAGCTGAATAAGCCATTTAGACCCGAGTGTGGTGAAGTATGGAAGCTCGGATCTAACCATCACTTAGAGGTCATCTCGGTATATTAGGTGAATGAGACAGCAGCACCCGAGTGCAATGCAGTATGGATACAACGCTCAGATCTTTTCAATATGATCAACTCGAATACCTTGCTATTATTGTTACATGGTTCACCTCATTCCAGCTAGTTTGGGAAGAAATCCCTATTAGAAATGCCTATTACATATTCCACTGGTTGCAGTTGTGACCTTTGCTTGACATCTGATTGTACACTTAATTCCTTTCACCCTTACAAAAATCTTTACTCAAAATACTTCGTCATGTTGTACGAACTATATATTTCCGAGTTAGCATAACGTTAACGGAATAAACCGAGTTCACCCGAATGGTGTTACAGGGTCAGCAGATTTAGCCAAGGTGACCATGGACTGAGGAAATTCATTGAAGGGAAACAACTATCATTTCAAGTCAATTTACGTAAATTGATGGATGCGCTCGTAAATTGAAAGGTGGGTCGCCGTTATCGCGTGCTTCAGACTGATTCCCGAGTTTGTTTTGGGGCGGATTTATGTAACCCAATATTTTAAAATTTGAATTTGAATAACGTGCACAGGAAAAACTAAACGCTGGTATATATTGAAGCTCTAGGTAAAGGACCCGGTTACAATATCCTGGGGTTTGATGTTTATGAATGTTTATCTTCACAGGGCTTTCTACACCCATTTTACCAATGCGGTGATAACCTTTAATGAACATCTTTTTCTTTCTTATATGATCCAGGAACTGTTCACTTTTATGAGAATTAAAGTATGAGCTCACATTTAATGGAATATGTTGTCATTTGTATGTACACACACTGATAGCAACAATGACCTAACCTAGCAATATGTGGAGACAAAGTGTGGAGACAAGTGTGGAAATCAAAGTGTGGATGCAAAGGGTGAAGACAAAAGTGTGGAGACAAAGTGTGAGGACAAAGTGTGGAGACAAAGCGTGAGGACAAAGTGTGGAGACAAAGTGTGGATGCAAAGTGCGGATGCAAAGTGTGCAGACAAAATGTTGGTGCAAAATGTGAAGACAAAGCATGAAGACAAAGTGTGGATGCAAAGTGTGAAGACAAAGTGTGGATGCAAAGTGTTGGTGCAAAGTGTGAAGACAAAGTATAAAGACAAAGTGTGGATACAAAGTGTGCAGACAAAGTGTTGGTGCAAAGTGTGAAGACAAAGTATGAAGACAAAGTGTGGATGCAAAGTGTGCAGACAAAGCATGAAGACAAAGTGTGGATGCAAAGTGTGAAGACAAAGTGTGGATGCAAAGTGTTGGTGCAAAGTGTGAAGACAAAGTATAAAGACAAAGTGTGGATGCAAAGTGTGCAGACAAAGTGTTGGTGCAAAGTGTGAAGACAAAGTATGAAGACAAAGTGTGGATGCAAAGTGTGCAGACAAAGTGTGAAGACAAAGTGTGGATGCAAAGTGTTGGTGCAAAGTGTGAAGACAAAGTATTAAGACAAAGTGTGGATGCAAAGTGTGCAGACAAAGTGTTGGTGCAAAGTGTGAAGACAAAGTGTGAAGATCAAATGTGGATGCAAAGTGTTGGTGCAAAGTGTGCAGACAAAGCGTGAAGACAAAGTGTGCAGACAAAGTGTGAGGACAAAGTGTGAAGACAAAGTATGAAGACAAAGTGTGGATGCAAAGTGTGAAGATCAAAGTGTGCAGACAAAGTGTTGGTGCAAAGTGTGAAGACAAAGTATGAAGACAAAGAGTGGATGCGAAGTGTACAGACAAAGTGTGGATGCAAAGTGTGAGGACAAAGTGTGCAGACAAAGTGTGGATGCAAAGTGTGCAGACAAAGTGTGAAGACAAAGTGTTGGTGCAAAGTGTGAAGACAAAGAGTGGATGCAAAGTGTACAGACAAAGTGGAGACAAAGTGTGAGGACAAAGTGTGAAGACAAAGTGTGGATGCAAAGTGTGCAGACAAAGTGTGAAGACAAAGTGTGCAGACAAAGTGTGAAGACAAAGTGTGCTGACAAAGTGTGGAGACAAAGTGTGCTGACAAAGTGTGGAGACAAAGTGTGCAGACAAAGTGTCGGTGCAATGTGTGAAGACAAAGTGTGAGGACAAAATGTGGAGAAAAAGTGTGAATGCAATGTGTGAAGACAAAGTGTGGATGCAGAGTGTGGAGACAAAGTGTGGAGACAGAGTGGATGCAAAGAGTGGAGACAAAGTATGGAGACAAAGTGTGGATGCAAAGTGTTATGACAAAGTATTGGTGCAAAGTGTGAAGACAAAGTATGAAGACAAAATGTGAATGCAAAAAGTGGAGACAAAGTATAAAGACAAAGTGTGGAAACACCTGCGGAACCCGTTGGTCACGTTATTTTGATCACATTCGACTTTGTTAGTGCCATCGACCCAAGCTGAAGTCGAGTACCGCTTGTGTTATCTCTCTCGTAAATCATTTGAGCATTCGTCACCACTCGCCCCTTTCCGTAACCTGCAAGAAGAACACGAGTTGGTCACGAATGTCATTTGAGTCGTGCTGAGCGGATAGTCCCAACGTAAGGGAGACAACTCCACTCAACATTTTTGACACTTTTTCAAGTCGCCCCTAACATCTACTACAAGAGACAGACTTGGGGAACAGAGTTTATTTCAGTTTCCCGACCCATACACCTGTCTTATCGCAACTGGTAGGAATATCTATATACAGGATGGTACGTTTTCATAGCTACATGTATAGGAACATTGCATATCTATGATGGTATTGAATAATACATAACATTTTACATAAATGGATAATTTCTTAACACGAGAATGTTACAGAGGTTTTGCACAATACACCATCTTCACAAAACATACCCCTTATAAAAGTATCAACTTCCCAGGGATGGCTGAAAAATGTTCTGAGCCAAACTATGATAGACTGTATTGGTGTAGTTGGGTGCTGATGATTTCTCATTACAATCCCTTCTGAGGTGCACGCACTTCTGCTAACGATACTGGAGTGCCTGAATCTCATTGGTGTAGAAGGTTTCACTCTTGGTGGTGAAGAAAGTTCATTATTTGCATACTGTGTGCCAGGCACTTCTTTATTCCAGTTTGGGATGATGTAGAAATCTGATGATGCCAGATCTGGTACATATACAGGATGTTCAATGAGTTCATAGCCACAATCATGCATTGCAGTCATGTGCACGGGGGCATTGTCCTGGTGTAACAACACATCTTTAGCCCGTTGTACACGACGATTAGTCTTCATATTCTCACGCAATTGCTGAAGCAGATAGGCATAATATTGGTCATTAATGGTCTGACCCCTCGGAAAGTAATCCACCGGTAGGATGTCTTTAGATTCCCAGAAAACCGTAGCCATCACCTTGCCAGCTAATGGAACCGACTTTGCTTTCTTCTTCGGAGAAGACGTTAGATATGTCCACTGCCTTGATTGCTGTTAGATGCCTCAGCAAAGATTTCTGCAAAGACCTGTGGAAGTTTTTTCGAAATTTGACCGATTAGTGACAAAAATGTGTTTCACTGTAACTCCCTACTTTGACTTGTTCATTATTTCCCGTGTTTATTTCAGATGAGCATTTGCCATGCCTTTGCATGAGTTTGTGACAGGATACGCTCACCTTTTCGAGAACGCCTCATTCAATCACTTTTCTTATAGTGATTCATAAACAAATGTTTATGATATAGTCGGGATCATGCATTTGTATAATAAACTGGTTTTGTGATTAAGGAGTATGATTTCTTGTTTATATCAGAAGCCTTGGAACCCAGCGTGCTGAAGCATTTACCATATCCACTTCATTCCTCAGACTATTCATAACCCTCTCGTGACAGGTGCTCACTGTATTGGCTTTGTGACGCGTGGGGAGTCGTCAGTTATCCATAACCATAGCATGTATCTCACAAACATTTTCCTTAGTCGTGGCGTTTGAAGGTCGTCTTGATCCTGGGTCATCTTCGAGACTCCTTATTCGCCTCTCGAACTCAGCTGCCCACCTCTTAACAGTGGCAAAGGATGGAACATCTTCCACTGAAGTTGACATGTGTACGCATGGACGGCTGTTGGAGTTTGACTTTTTGATTTGAAATACTTGATGAAAGCGCGGTCGCCATTTTTGTTCATTTTCATCACCAGAGAATACGCAGTCACTTTGATACCTGCAAAAATATGCTGCTTTTATGTGTTTTAGTTCAAACACAGCCTGTAAGTATGGAAGGTATTGTTCTCAATCATTCAAACTGTTAGGGGTGTTCTATACCTGTACATCCTTCTTAGTTTGGCTCCCGTGTAGGTATGCTGAATATAATGTGGCTGTAGTGCGTCCTTTCATACACTTCACCTGGGCTTACACATTATCCTAACATTCAAATCCCCGAGTTTCTGTCAATTATGCTGAGTCAACCCCAAAAGAATTGTTTGGGACAAGACATTAAAACTGCCCCCAACAATGTTACAAAATGAACATATATATGAAACCTTTTTCTTTACTTATGAGCAGCGTGATCTCTGGACTTGTACAAAGCAGACGTAATTCCAAATTAACAATCATTTTTATTTTCAACATAATTAGTAAATACGCTATTGTGCCACTGGATTTTCTGGTCCACCGATCACTTCATTGTCTTGTTACATTTCACCCTCGCACGGCAGGAGTATTGTTATTAAGATGACAGTAAATACAAAGTCAATGTGTGCCTGTGTACTTTTGGTATGCCCCTCGCTGCTATTCTGAAATGGTTTGCCATTAAGTATACAACATAATGTCAGAGGACACACTACTTTGATGGACATGTTGGGAAACTACATCTGCAGCATATGGATACTAAATGTCAACACGTTTCACTGCATCTGTTGTACATGTGTTTACTCACCAACACAAGTAAATATATTCACTTGATATATATTTCTGATTTACTGTCTTGTGAGGAATATAGAGAATGCTGGAAAATCAAGACACCATTATAGTGTAGACAGGATTAAAAAAATCAATCCAATCTCAAGTTCAATCTTTTAACTCTCTCAAATTAGTAAATAGTTCATGTATACATAAAATTAGTTGTTGTCGTTGTTGTTATGTGAGGTGAGGTGAGGTGAAATGGGGTTTAACGTCGCGTCCAAGATTATTGCACTTATATAGCGACGTGCATGCACGTGTATTGTGTGTGTGTACTAGTCCGGACTGATGCCGATCTATAGAGCTAGCTCACTGAGATACCATGCCGCAGTTTAACATGAATACCCCACTCAGACACAGTATACTGACTCCGAGCCGACCAGTCCTTGTTTTAGCCCCTTAATGCCGAGCGCCAGACAGGGTAACAACAAGTACCATCTTTTAACGTCTTTTGGTATGACGCGGTCGGGGATCGAACCCCGGACCTTCCGCTGCCCGGGCGGACGCTCTACCACTAGACCACGGAGGCGGTCTTGTTTTTATGGCAATTCACATTCCAGTTATCAAACACGTGCCATACCAGTGAGGTATATTTTGTTTTGCCTCTTTGGCGGCCATGACGATTCAAGGAGTATATTGTCGTATAAAAATCATATTTTGATTACTGTTATCATTATTATTAGTCATGCTCATCTACATATTGATGAACTTGTTTTAAACAGACAGATGGTTGGTAAGTACACAAAACATGTCAATACATTTTAATGATAGGGCCTGGTTTATACCAGTCTCAAATGAAAATATATAAGCATATGTTATTGATAATCTTCTGTATTGACTTATGTCATCCTATTGTTAAAACAATTTGAATTTGAAAATACGCATTATTTCTTTCAGAAAAAAATAAGGGACACATCACATACCAGTAATTGTTTTATTACAGTGTATGTTTTAGACCACCCTGAGGTTTAAAGAGAAAAGCATATCTTACTGATGTCATCCTATTGTTATCAAATAAGAACAAATTCGGAGGGCGAAAGACTATGACAATAAGTAAAATTTCTTTTAAAATTTAAAAATACGCATTTTATCATTCATTATTTATGATAAAGGGATTTACGTCGGAAATTGAAAAGTTGCTGGAAACCCCAATATCAATTACGTGGGATTGCCACATTATTTTGTAACTATACATAGTGTCCTTATTGACTTCTTTAGTGACTGATACTCTCGATCCACTGTAGGTACTTCTCAACACAACACACCACTCCGCTACTGTGACCACACACCAACAGAAGCTTCTATATAAATGATAAAGAAATACACCCAAGCTGCGCACGACTATAGACCGTCACACACTATTCTGGGTAACGATAACGAACCGGGTTCGCGGAACTACTGTGACGTCACATGCAGCTTGTGATCTCATCATGGCGCGCTGACTGCGCCTTGTGTCCTTCTCCCCTAACAACACTCCTTCTTCTTTCTTTAGGCAAATCTTTATGGACCTAAATTCTGTTTCCGTAAGGTAAGTTGTTGTTATATTCTACTATTAATGTAAAATCCAATTTAGGTACGTATTATAGTCAGCATATGATACCAGAGGAGTTAAACTTCGGATGACATTAAGGAAGTAGGTCATTGTATGGGTATTTGCCTGATTTAACGACAATAAATTCAATATGTCAATGTCAGCAAGCGGACATATGTCGTTTTCATTTGAAATAATTGTTGCAGCTACATTAACTGTTTATGCGTGGCGTGGTAGGATTTCGTGTTCCACCATGTCATCATGACCGAAACCTATCTCGATGACCTTGGTAGGAGTGTACCGTTCAAATTCCACATTATTTATGATACAAATAAACAACTCGTAACGTCTTTTAAATATGTCCTGTTGTGAAATATTTGTATTTAGAATAAATATGTTCACAAAATTGAAAAACATGACGAAACAGGGACAACAGTAGCTCAACACGTATGCTGCGTCTGCGCATGCCTATTGTCAGGCGTTGTTCGATACACTGAAATAGGTAACCATAGCAGGCAAAACAGATAAGCATTGCAGTAGCAGTGAAGTATGTTTTAATGTATGGAGTAGGTAAATTTGCTCTCAGATGAATTCCTTTTTAAGTTGCTTCTTTATGAAAATCTATATTTGGTAGTTTATTGTTTATTACAAACCTGATATGAATGTCCCCATATTTATTACACAACACGTGGCACAACAGCCAGTTAAAATAAGTTCATTTTTGTCGATCCCATTTCTGTGTTTCAAATTCTTGATGATACTCATAGTGACACAATCGATCATCACAGGTGTTGTATCCACATGTTCGCAAATTGGTCATCAGCCAAGTATCAGTAACAAAATATTTTAAAAGGGTATCGGTGTTGCGCTAAACACAACACTATATTAAAAGAATATTAGGAACACTATATTAAAAGGGAAACCTTGCAATTATTATAACCGTTTTTTAAAATTTACGAATATTCTTTTGCATAAACAAGTGTTTGTACATTGTTTGTCTGACACCTCCGGTATATACTACACGATATAACATGTGTACTACACTATATAACACGAAAAGTACACTGTATAGCATGCATACTACACTATATAACATGAACACTACACTTTATAGCATGAATACTACACTATATAGCATGCAAAGTACACTGTATAACATGCATACTACACTATATAAGACGAATGGTGTATAACAAGATTACTACACTATATGTCACGAATGCTACACTATATAACACGTATAGTACACTGTATAACATGCATACTAGACTATATAACATGAATACTACACTATATAACATGAATACTACACTATATAACACGCAAAGTACACTGTTAAACACGTATACTGCACTACATAGCATGGATACTACACTATATAGCACGTATAGTACACTGTATAACATGCATACTACACTATATAACATGAAAACTACACTATATAGCACGTATAGTACACTGTATAACATGCATACTACACTATATAACATGAATACTACACTATCTAACACGAATGGTACACTTTATAACACGTGTACTACAATATACAGCATGAATACTACCTTATACACACGTATAGTACACTATATAACATGAACACTACACTATATAACATGTGTAGTGCACTATATAACATGTATACTACACTATATAACACGCAATGTACACTGTAAAATAAGCATACTACACTATATAACATGAATACTACACTATATAACACGAATGGTACACTGTATAACATGTGTACTACAATATACAGCATGAATAATACACTATATGACACGTATAGCAGACTATATAACATGAATACTATACTATATAACATATAGTACACTGTTTATCATGCATACTACACATATGTAACACGAATGCTGTACTATATAACACGTATGGTACACTGTATGACATGTGTACTACACTATATAGCATGTATAGTACATTGTATAACATGCATACTACACATATATAACACGAATGCTATACTATATAACACGCAAAGTACACTGTATAACATGCATACTACACTATATAGCATGAATACTACACTATATAACACGTATAGTGCACTAAATAACATGCATACTACACTATATAGCATGTATAGTACACTGTATAACATGCATACTACACTATATAACATGCTTCCTACACCATATCACATAGCATGCATGCTACACTTCACAACATGTATAATACAGTGGACAGCGCATGCATATATACACCACCATGTAGCATATATAGCACACCATACATATGACATATACTACACTATACAGCATGCTACAATGTATACAAGGTAAAGAACATGTATAGTAAACCATTTAACATGAATACTACACTATATAACATGCATGCTCCATTGTATAGCATGTATTCAACATCATATCACATGCATCGTAACTATATAACATGTATTCTCAAATGTATAACACACATTATATGACATGCATTGTTACAATATAACATGCATGCTCCATTGTATAGCATGTATTCTACATTATATGACATGCATCGTTACAATATAACATGTATTCTACATCATATCACAGACCAGCGAAGATCCGGGTTAGAATAGGTCTTCAGAAACCCAAGCTTGTCGTAAGAGGCGACCAGCGGGATCGGGTGGTCAGGCTCGCTGACTTGGTTGATGCATGTCATCGATCCCAACTGCGTGGATCTATGCTCATGATATCAATCACTGGATTGTCTGGTCCAGACTCGATTATTTACAGACAGCCGTCATATAGCTGGAGTATTGCTGAGTGCGGCGATAAACAACAAACCAACAAACAAACAATAATTCTATCACATGCATAGTAATCTGTACAATATATACACTGTACTAAATAACATGTCACCTGTACGAAATAACATGTATAGTACGCCATATAACATACATATGCATACACGTGTATATTTAAGAAATATTGATTTATTGGTTTATTTTCCCTGCAGTGTTTTATTGTACGATAAACAACGATCACGAGTCGTTTATTTCTTATATGAGATATCAACATTATGCACAGCCTCTTTAAGGATGATGATAAAATGTGCAAGTTTAAAAATAGTTTCCTTAATTTCAATAATGATGACTCCCTGAAAAGAACCCGACTCCGAAAATGTCGGTCAAGTCCATTTTATGAACAGGTGGGATAGGTTTGGTATTTTCCGCTTATTCTCATATTCCTTACGTCGATTATCTGTGCCTTTTCTCTTAATACCGATTGTCATATCTCTACCAATTTTGGATGCGATCGTTAGGCCATTGCGTTTATCTGCGAACCCCAGTTACATCTATAGGTAACAACTTACTAGACACTCCCCTCTCAAAAATAACGTCGTCCAATATATGACGTCATCATTTTGTGAGCGAGTAGTTATCTTATATCACTCTATATGACATATATACGACAGCATATAACATGTATTCTACAAAATATAATATGTACACTACACCAAAGCACATGCATAGCAAAGTATATAATATGTATACTAACTATATAAGATGTCTACTTCACTATATAACATGTATACTACTCCATATACCATGTGCAAAACTAACCTTCCGGGTTAACTAATTTAACAATTCTAATCAATGTTATATTATGTATATGTCATATTTTTATCTTTTCAGAACCGCTAGTGTCCTCACGTCTCCCTTTGATGTGAGTCATTATATTTGTCTTTGAAAACATGACACACGAAAGTCGGCAACAAATCATACAAGAAATCATGGATAACTTGGGGGAAAGTGTCGAATGTGACCAGTTAGTCAACAAACTGGCTGACAAACAGATCATCTCGACAGATGACGTCATGAGAATCACCGGTACTGAAGACAAGGACAAGATGAAAGAACTTGTTCAAGTTGTCATGGAAAAGGGTGATGAACTCCACCCTTTAGCCCTAAAAATCGTTGAGGCGCTGAAGCATCCCAACCAGCAAACCACAAGGAGGACGGATCAAGCCATGGATGCAGTTACTAACAGTAAGCTAGATTATATTTAAAAGCCCTTGACGTTGCTTAGTTGCCTAAAGCTGCGAAAGTTGTGCGGAGTTGCACCCCTTAGGCGTGCTAGGATCCTGTGATTGTTGATTCTGGATTTCCTTCTATCCCCTGGGGATTCCGGGTAAAAATTGGTCCATAGCAATATATGTTGGTCGTAATGGGCGACTTAAAAGATCTGGTGGTTGGGCTTGGTTCTGTTGGTTTGTTTTTTAACGCCGCACTCAGTGATATTCCAGCTATATGACGGCGGTCTGTGAATAATCGAGTCTGGACCAGACAATCCAGTGATTGACATCATGAACATCGACCCACGCAATCAAACACATACATACCACACGTGCATGCATGTCGTTATTTGAGTGTAATAATCTTGAACGTGACATTTAAACACAATTTCACTTCACATAACAATTTAAAGTGTCTGTTTAGCGGATTTTATGTGTAATTGTTATGTACGTATATACTGTACAACAATGTTATAAGTGAAAATATTAATAATTTTTGGGTTTTCTGAAAAAAATGATATCTACATATTACAAAACTGGCTCAATAGAAGTTGGTGTAAGATAAGTCAAATATATAAATCAACTAAAATACATACTTTGTTACAGGATCAGGTACTGTTGCTGCACCACCGTCGAGCGACAGGCGCATTCTATCGAACAGTGAGGTCTCCAATAATTGGGCTCTGAAGAATTTTTTGTTTGACATCTCCAAACAAATGGGAAACGAAGATTTGGAGTCGATGAAGGATATCATGTTCGGTAAAGTGACATCCTAAGATAATTTATACTATTATACTCTTATACGTACAAGTATAAAGAGGTTTCCATGAGAATGTTTCGTTTACTCATTTTCGTATGTAACAATTTCGAGTCTACCATTTTTGGCGAATCGTATCTTTTGTTGTATGCAATATATCAACGAAATGACGTACTTTGACTTAGTGTTCAAATTTATATGAGACGGAAAATGTATTGGTGATGAGATACTGGTTAACACATAAAAACAAATTCAAAAGAATTTGCATTTTAAACCGATGGTATATTTTGTTCACGCTCACCAATGTACTCGCCCTTTGTACTTGGACGTTTTGACGCCATAGTGGTATAATGTGAGAACAGTATGCATGTGGTGACAATAGCTCAACGTGACCTCTATTTCGGCATATTGAACCAATCACAACTAGTAATTTCTACCGAGGAAATAAAACAGTAATACCCACTGAAAATGTGTAGTTCGAGCATCTCCCTCCCTACACGGATAATAACAAAAACTAAATAGTTGTAAATATCTTGACCTGCTTTTTAGCCTCTGATTGTTTTTAAGGGTAATTCAGCATGAATCTAAATGGAGTCAAACAACATGTTACATAGTATATATATATATATATTTATTGTTATGACTACATGCTATTGGTATTACTTATAGTAAGTTGGTTTGGGCTACTTGTTTTATAAGAATATCATACAAAAAGAAACTTACAGAAGTAGTGCTCCTAAAATTGACATCAGTGCTAACCCGCTTCGGAAACAACATGTATTAATGGATGTAGTTTATCAACATGGATGAACAATCTAACTGTTAACATTGCAAGAGAATATGATTGGAAGGAAGCATCTTAAAAGTCTTCGAGGGATACAGTTGGAGGATCACAGAGCTTGAACTGGATTTGTTTTGCTATTTTGTTTTGATGGTTATATAAAAGGCTACACATTTCCAAGGGGAACAGAAAAAGTGTCTCCCAAAACTAAATTTCCACTAGAGAGGATGTGAATCACAGAAAGAATATCTTTTTTTTCAACTAATCATACTGAAGATAATTCATGAAGATACTCGTTACTCTCATACACTTCAAGTGAAAACGTGAAAAGTGTTAAGATATTTTGGAAATGCATTTATGCTCATTATTGGCAATTGATAGAAGAACATCAGTTTGTCATTGTATTTCGCTTGTTGTCCAAATGAGATACACGACTGAGCTTGTATATATTATGCTGCAATCCATGCTTTTCTACATTATCCTACTGAAGAAGTCAATGTAACATGGCTGACTGAATTTGTCCACTTGTGATGCAGAAGAAGTCAAAGTAACATGGGAAACTGAATTTGTCCACTTGTGATGCAGAAGAAGTCAAAGTAACATGGCTGACCGAGTTTGTCCACTTGTGATGCTGAAGAAGTCAAAGTAACATGGATAACTGAATTTGTCCACTTGTGATGCAGAAGAAGTCAAAGTAACATGGCTGATCGAGTTTGTCCACTTGTGATGCTGAAGAAGTCAAAGTAACATGGATAACTGAATTTGTCCACTTGTGATGCAGAAGAAGTCAAAGTAACATTGCTGATCGAGTTTGTCCACTTGTGATGCTGAAGAAGTCAAAGTAACATGGATAACTGAATTTGTCCACTTGTGATGCAGAAGAAGTCAAAGTAACATGGCTGACCGAGTTTGTCCACTTGTGATGCTGAAGAAGTCAAAGTAACATGGATAACTGAATTTGTCCACTTGTGATGCAGAAGAAGTCAAAGTAACATGGCTGATCGAGTTTGTCCACTTGTGATGCTGAAGAAGTCAAAGTAACATGGATAACTGAATTTGTCCACTTGTGATGCAGAAGAAGTCAAAGTAACATTGCTGATCGAGTTTGTCCACTTGTGATGCTGAAGAAGTCAAAGTAACATGGATAACTGAATTTGTCCACTTGTGATGCAGAAGAAGTCAAAGTAACATGGCTGACCAAGTTTGTCCACTTGTGATGCGGAAGAAGTCAATGTAACATGGATAACTGAATGTGTGCACTTGTGATGCAGAAGAAGTCAAAGTAACATGGCTGATCGAGTTTGTCCACTTGTGATGCTGAAGAAGTCAAAGTAACATGGATAACTGAATTTGTCCACTTGTGATGCAGAAGAAGTCAAAGTAACATTGCTGATCGAGTTTGTCCACTTGTGATGCTGAAGAAGTCAAAGTAACGTGGATAACTGAATTTGTCCACTTGTGATGCAGAAGAAGTCAAAGTAACATTGCTGATCGAGTTTGTCCACTTGTGATGCTGAAGAAGTCAAAGTAACATGGATAACTGAATTTGTCCACTTGTGATGCAGAAGTCAAAGTAACATGGCTGACCGAGTTTGTCCACTTGTGATGCTGAAGAAGTAAAAGTAACATGGATAACTGAATTTGTCCACTTGTGATGCTGAAGAAGTCAAAGTAACATGGCTGATCGAGTTTGTCCACTTGTGATGCTGAAGAAGTCAAAGTAACATGGATAACTGAATTTGTCTACTTGTGATGCAGAAGAAGTCAAAGTAACATGGCTGACCGAGTTTGTCCACTTGTGATGCGGAAGAAGTCAATGTAACATGGATAACTGAATGTGTGCACTTGTGATGCAGAAGAAGTCAAAGTAACATGGCTGATCGAGTTTGTCCACTTGTGATGCTGAAGAAGTCAAAGTAACATGGATAACTGAATTTGTCCACTTGTGATGCAGAAGAAGTCAAAGTAACATGGCTGACCGGGTTGTCCACTTGTGATGCAGAAGAAGTTAATGTAACATGGATAATTGAATTTGTCAACGTTGTGTAGCCGAAGAGTTCAATACAACATTGATTACTGAATATGTCTCCGTTATCCTGCGGAAGAAGCCAAGGTAACATGTAATAGAGAACGTTTTCCAATTTTTATTTTCCAGGTTTTAGTCCAAAATTAGGTATAACATCTAAGACGTTAATTGTCAATGTATAGGTATGCGAGATATATACATGGGTACATATGTAAATGGTATCTTGTAATGCTGTTTGTATATCGAAACATAAAAGACTGTGCAAACGTGCTCGCGCAGAATAATATTTGATTTGTTTTCTGTATTACCATACCAGGTGAACCAGGCTTTCATCATTCTGCGATAGAGAAGATTGACACTCCAATGAAACTATTCAGGCAGTTGATGAACACAGGTCGTATGAATGCATATAATCTACACTTCCTACAAGCATTGGTGAGGAGGATTGACAGGTTTGACCTGAATTACAAAGTTCGCCAGTTTTGTTTGGAAAGTCACCACCAACCAATTCATTTCTTCGCACCAAGTGAACAACCAGGTGAGTTTATGTTTTTGCCAAAGAGGATACTTTGTTAAGTTGAAAGTGTTATATATTTTTAACAGTCGCCGAGACAGCTATTAGTTTACCAATGAAGTTGTAGTACTGAAGTATTAAAATCACCCGTGTCTAACATTTTATGACAATGTATAACATAAAGCGTTTGTTAATTTTAAACAACAAAATCAAATTTGAGTACTATCTAACAGAATCTTACCCTCTTGTAGCAAGACATTCGTGGATTTCGTTTTTTGCATTGAGTCCTTGGTGTTGAATAACACCTAAGTGTTTTGAACTGAAATCCTTGAATTTTGGCATAGTTTATCTTTCTAAACTTCATTAGTCACTCAGGCCTCCCAATTTAAATCACTATTACAAAAAGGTCGATGTTCATAATGACTTGGCCACCTATTGTGGTGGTTATAAAAGTTTATTTTAAGTTTGTGGTATAAAGTTTGGATGTAATCGTAATCATTTGGTGCTGTTCAACCTACATTGTTAGAGCTTAGAGTTTTTTAGAGCTTACATTTTGGGTGGTCAGAATACAGTCACAGTTGGTGGCCTCAGCACCGTGAAATGATAGAGTTACCTGCCCTTACCTTATTGAACAGGAAGCGTTCCTTACCATGCGTTTACCGGACATGAAATGGAGACGAGTCCATAAATATAATACTTGTATATGTATATTTTCGATTTTATTAGATTTAGACAACGACATAAACTATTTAATGAAAAGATGTTATATACCGTGAAAACATTTGGAATTAGTACTGGTTTGTTGAATGTTCATTGTAATCAATAACTAAGTCATCATGTATATTATTGCAGAAAATGGATACAAATATGTGAAACATCACATTGAAGGTGGCATCGATCAGCTAACACATTCACAACTAGAACATCTACGAGCAGAGGTTGCCAACCTTCTGTGCATACCGCCAATGTTTGTTTTCGTCAAGGGTATCGAGCCAGCAGATAGTCTCTTGTTCACATTCATGGTGCGTGAAACAGATGTCAGCAGCTTCATCGCCATCTACAGTTCTCAGGAGATATCACTGGTTCATTTATCTGTCTGTGTAGAAATACAGGACGCCGAGTTATCCCTGTCAGGTATGTAAATTGTTATTTTTTTATGTACTCATATTTTTGTTGAAATATCAATGATCTTAACATTGATATACAATGTTACATTGTATTTATTTTGTAGTCTGACCTGGGCAGAAAGGTGAAATATACAGTAATTAAATCTGTAAATCTGTGTTCCTTCCGGTTTTTTGTTTTGATATATACATATATAAAGAGAAAATGTCATTGGACCATATTATGTAATGTTTATAATTGATTACAACTACCTTATACTGCAACTCTTGCAGAAATTTCCCCAACTCCGGAAAAGGATCACAAACCAATGTTTGACCAGTTGAAACACCTTCTTGAGCGAGAGCAGTGCCTCCAGAGGCAACTAGAAGAAAGGGATGGGCGACTGGTAGATCTTCAAGAGGAACTGGATAGTAAGGAAGGCGAGAACACAGTAGAGCAGGTTCTACGAGGTGACAAGTGTGACATGGACACTCATCAATTACACCAAAAGTACGAATTGTACAAAAATCTATTTTATAGAATGGTGGATGTACAGAAAACAATGATGCCAAAGGACCACAAGACTAGTGCCAATGGCATAGTTGGGTCACTAAAGGTATCCAGTGCATCCAGTCTATTTAGACATCTATTGTCTCAAGCGAAGCAACGCTGTGATACAGACTTGATAAACAAACTGCTGGATACAAAGACTGTAATTGAAGACTCGTTACACGAGGAGAGATTGCGGAGAATGCAGGACATTATTGTGATACTGTCAGAACAAGTGGAAGAACAGGCGGAAATCAATGCCAATCTGAGAGCATCCACTAACATAGCTGGGGCATCGTCAACTTTCCTGCATGACATCTTGGCAGTTCAGGAACAAACAAGGAACCACGCCATCAAACAACAGCAAGAGGAGACACATGTGTTGGAAATCAGTAGTATGATAGGTCTGCAGGTGGCTCATAGAATGTACCCAGGTAAACACCTTACTTTGCACATTCCCACCCTCTCCGCACTAGGCCAGAATTATGGAGTTACAGTTTGGATGGACTAACGAGTCGATGTATATTCCAATTAAAGCAAATGAAAGTGATATGAGAGGTGGAGTCTGATTGTCATAGAAGGGACATAACTCGTAACAGCCACTTGTGGCGTTTTGATCAAACCAAGAAATTCCTATCAAAGGAAGTATTGATTGAAGTATTTATTGATTGGCTGATGATAACTTGCTTAATTTCGAAGTATTCATTAAATGTTCGGAACATTACTTTGCCTTTTTCTAGCTCCACAACAGATATCCATCCCGCCTGAATTTCAGTCATTTCTGGCAAACATTACAACTAAAGATTTGACAAGCAAGGAAAGGTCTAGACTGAAGACCTTCCTCTGTTTCTCGGATCCCGAGAAGGAACAACTGATCCAGAACCCGGAGAAGCTTCTTGAACTGGCATTTCTAAGGGAACTCCGCAAGGGTAGACTAGGAGAACCTACGGGTAAATATATAAGTATTATAATTAGTGATCACCCATATATTCACTTTCCATTCGTTACCTTTGAATGTAACATTCCTCATCTTAACTAACGTTGTCAAGCATTTAACAAAATCTAACTTCTTAAATTCTAACATTGACTTTGTCAAAAATGAATTGAATTATATTCTACAAAATGTATTAAAACGTATTTGATGGAGTTTGAATGTTAGACTTCAATGGTTAAAAACTGTTGTGCTAATTATTATTCTGCAGAAACCATTTTGGGGGACATTTTAGCGAAGATAAGAAAAAGATATCTTGTGGACCGATATTACAAGACTCCTGACCAACAGCCTGCATTGATAAAACTACGCTCGGCAGAGAGGAGAAGTGTTCCTGCAAGGTCCAATACGCCTCAACGAATAAAAAAGGAAAGCGAATCAAGCACAATGTGATGTTGTGGAAGTAGATAGACAGTAGCCCCCTTTATTAGACAGCAGTTGGAAACTATTCACAGAGGTATGAGTCGTTTCCGAATGAGGAAAACATATTTCAGATATTCAGACTGGCGCAGCATTGATTTAATTCAATGTCACTGCTTGGTGAGATTTATTGATAACGGAGACCAAGTGTAACAAACACACCATGATTTGTATCCATTGACTTAAATAAGGCTATATTCAAAGTTGATTGTACGATTCCGTCTGTATCATGAACATGTGTTTATGAATCAATTTCAAAAAGTGATGATACCATGTGTTCGCGAAAAGGCGAAAGTGTCCTATGGCACCCGTCACAAACACATGCGATGGCAAGTCAAGTGTTCACCTGAAAAAAGGGAACATGGTACAATATACATATGTTTATATGAGGTTATGCAACTACAACAATTCCTACCATAATTAATATGCAATTTCCACTTTAAACATTTGTGTAGCTTGTCTGTACTATGCTTCTTTTTTTATATATCAGTTAAAGCACGTCTCGATCGTTTGTATATATTTTCATTTACCATGATCTTTGATGCTACCTTACCCTAGTCCACAGGTACGGAGAAACTACTTTGTGTCCGGTTCTGTAATTCCTAACATGTGTTCCTTTTGTAATATGTTATTCCTTTTGTATAACATAAGTATATATGTAAGTCTTAGGAAATAATTTGCATTACACATTTATTTGATCAAACAATCCTACCCACAGTGCTTTGGCTAATTTACCAACAATGCATTTCGGCTGGCCACGTCATTGTTATTCGCCATATTGAAGAGGTTTTCAGTCCTGACATATTTTTGTTTACCCACTAATATCCCTTTGAACAAGGCTCTGCTTCAATTCGTCATTTATTACATTTCCTATATGATTGCCTTCAATGCCAATCCATTGGGGACTGATTGCCGGTTTGGGAAAGAGAAACTGTTTTGCACCCCCCAATTTTCCGGAGTGTTACGACTTAGCCCTAGGGCGATTGGCAAACAGCCCCCCAAAAACTACCCAATCTAGAAAATATTTCAATATAATTATTGTCCGTGTATTCTTTGTTATGTCATTGTTTGCATAAGGTTTGCGGCGATGCGTCAAATTTGAAATTGGCGCCAACATGTCTACCATAAAACGTTTTGAAAGCTTTATTGAGGCCTTGAATGTCGTACCCTGATCAAACAACTTCTGAACAAGAATTGTACGACGAAATTTGAAATATTCGTAGAAAGAGCATGCTCAATTGTACCTCAAAAGTTGTGAAATGTTGACACCGAGGGGTTGAGCTGCAGGAATATTGGTCGACTTAAAGGGACGGTTGACTATTGGAAAGTTGAAGTCATCACTCTTGTCGTACAGTCTTGTGGAGAGACGTTTGTCACCCCTGATCTTCATGCATAGATCTAAATATGAAACAGATGAAGCCGTCTCTCTGGTCTTTTTTATTTCTCGTCCGGATGGGTAAATCAGTGATAATGAACGATATCAGATCATCAATATACCATATCGCGAAATCATTTTGTCACTGAACATACATCCACCCACATTTCATCATTTTTAGGAAATGCCCGTAGTTCGACATAAGAAACCCAAGGGAGATAACACATGCGTCAAAGTGGTGTACTTGTTCATCAAGTTTTGACTCACTGATTGATGCGCTCATAAATTCGAATACGGGAACTGAACATGTTTTAACGATTTCGGGAGTTTAATTATCCCGTCACGTTTCGTTTCCGGAGCATAATTCGAAAACCGTTAGATATGAAACATATGCTGAAGTGGTGCCTTTTGCTGTTTTGGTATTTCTGAAAAACAAATTGTGTTTCAATGGCAGCAAACGGGATTTTGACTCATATACGTTTAGCATTCGTTTCCAGAGCATAACTCGGAAACCGTTTAATATTTTATTATGAACTTTGCATTGGTACCAAATACATGCTGAACTGATACCCTATGTTTCCATGTTAACAAGTTGGACTGAACAAAAAATACAGGTTGCTTTCATTACCAGAGAGTAAATTAAAAACTAGATGTACATGTATTTAACTTCTTCCAATCCTTCGTGGTCATTTTGCACTATGGCTTGTCAACCATTGTATCTGCCTACAAAGCCAAGAAATGAAGGAACTTACAGCTTTGGGTCTTTATACGATGTAAATTAGTACATAAGTTAGGATTTCTTTGATTATTTTATCTCTAACACATGCGAAGTTAAATCCCATTTCACCTCACCTCACATAAAGAGAAAGGTTAAATATTTTCATTCACTTAATGAGATGGTATTTGGTGAACAATTTTGAATATTCTATTCATGACGCCCTTTATTGATTAAAAGGATATGACTCATAAAACTTTGTGTTTCTCTCATTTTGTGACATTATCAATTGTTTAATGACATCGCAGCAGCCGATGCTTGCTTGATTGATTGATAACTTTGGTGAAACTCACAATAATGGGTATGGTGTTGACAAACCTATACATACAGTCAGAGAAAATCTGGGCCACAACTCTGCACAGCGAATTGCGGCGCCTTGGAGGACTTGGCCAGCCGTGCACAACAGTCAACAGAGACATAATCATTTCTTCTAACTGGCGATTAAAATATATTGTCATTCAACAGAGATATGACATAAAGTAAGAAATCAACATCTGTCATCATACATTGATATATGCCATCCATTGTGACACATTTAAAATTTCGCATTAAAAAAACCCCGGAACATATGTGTTGAACCCCAGTACTAACTACACATGTACCTAAGATCATTTTGAACAACAAATACCATAAGGCCATAAATAGGATTTTAGATGTGGCTGCTGCGGCATATGATTTTTTAGTTCTTCTGGTCTAATGGTTTGGTTTGGTTTGTTTGTTGTTTAACGCCGCACTCCAGTTATATGACGATGGTCTGTAAAAAATGGAGTCTGGACCAGAGAAACCAGGGATTGATATCATGAGTGAGTGAGTGAGTATGGTTTTACGCCGCTTTTAGCAATATTCCAGCAATATCACGACGGGGAACACCAGAAATGTACCCATGTCGGGAATCGAACCCGGGTCTTCGGCGTGACGAGCGAACGCTTTAACCACTAGGCTACCCGACCGCCCTGATATCATGAGCATCGATTCACCCAATTGGGATACGATGACATGCATCGACCAAGTCAGCGAGCGTGACCACCCGATCCCGTTAGTCGCCTCTTACGACAAGCATGGGTTGTTGAAGACCTATTCTACCCCGGATGTTCACGGGTCTAATGGTTTCTGATGAGATTATGTTGACCGAACCAATGTTAACTTGCCGTAAAAGACGACTATGCTTGTCGTAAGAGGCGACTGAACATATCTGAAACAGTATGAGTAAATAAATATTTTTTTTCAATATGGCTGCCAGTATGGCCAATATTGAAAATCAGATTCAAATCTCATGAAGATATTCCAGTGCTGGAAACAACCATGTGAAGTTTCAGCTACATTAGTCCTGTGGTGTCTGAGGAATAAAAGTTTACAGACGAGAACGCCGTCGACGATGGACGCTTTGCAAGCAGGTCGTCAAGACACGTGAGCCAAAGTTAAAAGGTTCGATCAAAAGACAATGGACTAAACGAGCCCTTAGGCTAACATAATTAACATAAACCATAAACCAACTGTTACCAATTTATATGACATCTTTGCTCTGAAAGTAAAAGTCTGTCATTATAAGCACTAATCCACGGTGGACATCAACATTGAGTTTTAACTATGTTTTTCCTATTCATTTTTAATTTTATGCAAAACAGGGTTTTGGACGGGTGGTTTATCTTTATTTTTGAGTGAGTGAGTGAGTGAGTGAGTTGGGTTTAACGCCGCTTTTAAAAGTATTCCAGTCATATCGCGGCGTGTCAGCTTATAGCCCGAAGTGATGCAGGTATCAGACGTTTACCAATTCGATGAAACCCACGAGCACTAGTATGGTGCAGACAAACCTAGAAACATAATCGGGGCGAACCGCGATTCGAACCCACAATCACAGGTTTCTGGCGTGCCAAGGGACGCAACTCTGCACAGCGAATCGCGGCGCCATAAACGACTGGGCCACCCGTGCCCCCTCTTTATTTGTAAGCAGCTAAATCTCTGCACTTGTACTCAGCAGACGTAATTCGTAGTCAAAACCTTCATTTTTAGTTCCAATAAAATCAGTACACACGCTATCGTGCCGCTATATTATCTGGCCCAGATTGAGTCACTGGATAATCTGGACAAGACTCGATTGTTGACAGACCGCCATCGTATGAGTGAGTGAGGGGGACACCAGAAATGGGCTTCACACATTGTACCCATGTCCGGAATCGAACCCGGGTCTCCCCCGTGACGAGCGAACGCGTTAACCACAAGGCTACCCGACCGCCCCCCATCGTATGACAGGAGTACTGCTGCGCGACGTTATTCAACAAGAAACAAACACTTACTTTTTACGCAAATTTGTGAGTGGCGGGTGCTACCAGTAGAATCGGACATGCTCATCCTTCGGCGAAAACCTTGTATCATTACTGTTATCAATCACACTCAACCGCCTCCACGGTCTAACGGATAGTGTCTGCCAGCGGAAGGCCTGTGGTTCACTGGCCGCGTGATACCAAAAGACGTCAAAACATGCTCCATGCTTTTACCCTGCCTGGCGCTCGGCATCAAGGGGAAAAAAACAGGGACCGGTCATCTTCCTGTGTCCAGCAGTTTCAAAGGAGAAGACGTTTACAGAGCTGAGAAAACTTTTTTAGAGAATTTAAGAGGATGATAAAAGTGTAAAATCAAGGTCAAACTTCCCATTATAGAAAAAAGAATCCAGATATAAATATGTTTGTCACAAATAAATACCATATAACAATACATTTTGAAATAAATATGGCCGAATAAAGACCGTTATTTTTTTTAATATAGCTGCCCCATAACACACTTTTCACACTTTCGCCATCTTGGATTAAAAAAAAACGAGGCCTGGAGTGCATGGCTCCATGTGAGTGACTCCCAGCAGCGGATTGGAAACAGAGAGCTTAATATTGCATCTTCATTTCCCGGTGTTTTCCGTATGAAAATGTCAAGCATAGAATTGCAACCTTTCCGTCGAATACAGGACATTTTGCATGTTTAAAGCTAAGGTCCAAGGAAAATATCTCGTAAAACACTGGAATTCGCATTTTGTACGTATTTCCGATTTTCGTTTATGAATTTATGTACACATCCCGGTGGGGTATGACAGAACAATGTGCGAGTATATTCACTTATAGATTTTATGTATCGTAAATGAACTGCATAACATGCAACACTTGCGTGTATCGTGTTCATTCCATCGTGTGGGTGGCCGGTTGAAGAACTAGAGATGTCATGTTTAATTCACAAATCGTCGTGTATGCTTTACCACTCTTCATCGTTAAGTCATGAGTCAAGGGGACATAAGGCATATATTCTGATATGATTTTTACCCAAGCGTACGTGTATGCATGCGTAAGTAGAAAAATAACTCGTGTGCGTAAATGAAACAATCGAAAAGGGTCGATAACTCTATTCAGTTTGTTCAATGAGAGACTGCCTTCCCCTTCAAACACTATTGGCCTCAAATACAACTAAGGAAGTTATTCGAACTCAATCTTGACTTAAGTCACTAAATGCATAGCATGGGTGAAGGGTGGGGTACACAATGGCTGTAGGATTTGTCGGTGTTAATGGTTTGATGTTAATAGTGTTTGAAAGTGATTCATGAACATATGCTCATGATATAGTTGGAACTATGTACATACATTTATCATAGTATGGGTACGATAAAGCCAACGGATAAAAACGATATCCGTTGGGGTCATATGCGGATAGAGATGCAAATATCAAAGGTCAAATAGGGAGTACCTTCAGTGCACTCTCCTACCCAGAGTTCCATGCGGCCGGCAGCCAGCTAGCATAGTACCTCTGCCACAGGCCAGCGCCATGTGACGATTCGTCACATCTTTCACAGTCCATTCAAGATATTGCATATGCTTTTCATCCGTTTCATGTTTGACAAGTCTACACATTTTCATAAACAAATGTCAAAGAATGGTTAACTTTCATTGAGAAAGTATGGAAATACGTAAAAATCTACTTGTTTTTGCGTAGTTATCCTATGTTTACATTGGTTGTACG